GGTTAAACTAGCCAATCACATCATCAGAACTCTAAGCACGTGAGAGAGAGTGGGCACCTCCCAGAACATTGTTTTGTGCCACGCCCAACAGAAATACTCCAGGTGGATACCTTCAGCAATCAGGAGCTCCTCAGTTGCTCATAGAAAATCCCACCTTGGAGTTTACAAAGACTTATGGGTGGAAAAGCCACACTAAGTCATTTACTACACCGCAAGGGATTTCATTTTGTTTTTTATAATCACTTCTTTACTTTTGTATTTTAAAATGCATTGATCATATGAATAAAAATTTATTACTACAATCCTGTTTAATGAAGAGCCTTGGTGGCACAGTGACTAAAGCATTCAACTGCTAGCCAGAAGGTTGGCAGTTTGAATCCACTACCCACTGTGTGGGCGAAAGATGAGGCAGTCTGCTTCCATAAAGATACACAGCCTTAGAGATGCTATGGGGCAGTTCTGCTGTGTTCTGTAGGGTCACTGTGAGTCAGAATTGACTAATGGCAGTGGATTTGAAATCATTCTAAGTGAAATCAGTCACAAAAGGACAAATATTATATGATGTTACTTCTATGAAATGTGTAGAATAGGCAGATGTTTTCAAGGTTCATCTATATTGTAGTGCATATCAGGACTTAATTTCTCTTTATGGCTGGGTAGTACTCCATTGTGTGTTTATACCACATTTTTTAATCCATCTGTTGATGGATATTTGGGTTGTTTCCACCTTTTGGCTCTTTTATATAGTGCTGCTATGAACATAGGTATCCCTGCCTTTTAGTCTCTTGAATATATATGTATACATATAAAACAAAACAAACCCACTGTCATCAAGTTGATTCTGACTCATAACAACCCCCATTGGGTCTCTTAGGTGGTAAATTTTTATGGAAATAGATTGCCCAGTCTTCCTCCTGCCAAGTGGCTTGTAGGTTTGAACCATCAGCCTTCCTGGTTAGCAGTCAAATGCCTTAGGCACTGTGTCACCAGAGCTCCGTGTGTGTGTGTATGTGTATGAATGTGTGTGTGTATAGGTATGTATATATGTATGTATGTGTGTGTGGGGAGGGTCTCTGTGTTTTGGATAAATGTTGATATTTGTTGAAGCAAAATTCTGTTCAGTATGAAGATTACCTTGCTCTAAAAGGGCAACAATGAGAAAGAAATTATTTTTCTTCTGATTGGTGTATTAGATTGGTCACATTGCCACGACATCTGTGACTAGTGATGATTAGGGCTTCATGATCTTTGTAGGGATTAAGTATGTAGACCTTTTGTTTTGCTCTCTCATGCTTTTAGATATCCTAGATAAACATACTAGCTAAATTAACACAGGAAGTATATTAATTTTTTAGCCACCTTAAATGGTCATGATAAATTAGCAGATGGCAAGTTGGATTATCTGGGCTCATATAACAGAACACCCTGCCCTAGTGTCTTTAACAGGTAAAGGTTTTGCTTTTTCTTCTTGAGCCAGGAGTCTCGGAGCCAACTGCCGTGGGCTGAGGAGTAGGTTAGCCATACCCTGTGGGGCCCAGGCCCCTTCTCCTCCTGTGTTTCATGTGGTGCTTGTCATGGATCCAATTGTGTCCCCTTAAAATAAGTGTCAACTTAGCTAGGCCATGAGTCTCAGGATTATAAGGTTGTACTCCATTTTGTGATGTAAATCCTAACCTCTGCCTGTGGTTAATGAGGCAGAATTAAGTGGGATCTATCACCCTTACTTAAGTCAGCACCCTCACTCAGGTCACAGCTCTGAGTCTCCGTGGGATGTAGCCTGCGTTACCTTTTATCTTACAAGAGGTAAAAGAGGAAAGAAGGGATCAGGGAGAGAGGAAATCTCAGTACCACCAATAAAGAAGAGCCATGAGTAGAGCATGTCCTTTGGACCCAGGGTCCTTGTGCTGAGAACCTCCTAGAGCCAGGGGAAGATTGATGCCAAGACACTTGGAGATCTCCAGGCTCACAGAAGTTGAAAGGAGGCAAGACCTTTCTCTAGAATCAACAGAGAAAGCCTAGAGTTGGTACCTTGAATTCAGACTTCTAGCCTTCTAAAATATGAGAGAATAAATTTCTGTGTGTTAAAACCATCCACTTGTTGTATTTCTGTTATAGCAGCACAAAATAACTAGTTAAGACAGTGGCTATGGGCATCCTTAAGCCTGGGCTCCAGTACTCTTGGGTGTATGAGAAGACCTTTCAGGGGGCTGCAGGCATAGATTGTTTTTTTAAGGAGCCAACTTTCAGATCCTTACCTTCCACGTGTGACCTTTCCTAAAAATGCATTGAATGAGAAAGCATGTTTCAGTCAGGTGTTCTGCAGGTGCTTCTTCCCACCATTCCTCTCACTGTTCCTCTCCTTTACAGACAGCAAAAATAGATCTCCAGCCAAACTTACTTAATCGATAACTTTTAAAATTGTGAATGTGTCTGTGTAAATGTGTCCAGGGGTGTCTGGACAGAACAATTAATGACAGCTAAAATGCTTTGGAGTTTCTGAGGCAGGTATTATTCTAGGCTCCTCTCACATATTTATTTGTTTAAGCCTACCAACAACTTTATGATTTAGAGGCTATTCCCATTTTATAGGCAGAGAACACTGAGACCCAGAGATTAAGTTATTGGCCCATCATCACATGGCAAATTAGGTGGTGGAGCCAGGACTCAACTCTCTAGCACCTGCTCTGAGCTCCTACTCTCAGTGGCTCCAGTGCTTCCTAATGACAACATGGTTATTTCTGGGTGTTAGGATTTTCCTTTCTTCTTTGTATATAATTCATTTTAATAAAAGTGTATTTTTTATAAAACTAATTAAGTCATTTTTTAAAAAAGGAAACTGGACAAAAACAACATTTGGAAGAATTTGGTAGTTCTTTAGCAGGCCAAATTGAGCATGAGTGGGATATGATGGCCTTTTGCCACCTTCCCATCTTCTCTCCATGCTACTGTTGCTCAGTGTGGTTGCTTTACCAGTGAATGAAATGTCCTGGATGTCAGCAGCTGCTGGAGTTAGATGGATAAGGAAGAGCTCTGTCCTCCAGCAATGGGCAATTTTGGTCTGATGACTGTCTTTTTAAATTACCTAATCAAAGTCTTTTTTTTTTTTTTTTTAACCTCTTAACTTTGCAGTTATTCTCATTGAGTACTTTTTAGTCTGCTGGTCTGTGCAGAATTACACAGTGTAATTCCCATAGTGTAACCCCAGTAAGGATAGGTTCCTGACCAGTAGATTGTATATTGGATGTGCTGGTTTGTCTGTTTCATTTTAGGATCCTCAGGGCCTGCTCAAAGTAAAATAAAAGGTGACAAAATCAGTCCTACTCACTTCCACACAAGCCAGAGCAGTTGGCTGTGTGGGGATGTTGTGGTGCCAAGCGGAGGTCTGACGGGACCAGAGCCAGCGGCCGGGGTACAGTGTGTTCAGGTCCAGCTATTGCAGGTAAGAGCCAGGGATCCAGGAGGAAGCAGTCTGCAGACACTGGAGGCAGGCCACACCAGGCTGGGCAAGACTAGTGTACCTTAGTCTGCAGCTGCTGACTCCCCTCAGTACTGGCACCGTCAACTCTCCACAAGCCCTGCTTCCTGATGACCTCATCTCAGCTGCCTAATTCTTCACCACCCATCTCCACCCTGCTTCTGAACAGTCCCCAAGTCCTGTTCTTTACCCTAAAGCTCTTCATAGCCCCACTTCTTCCTTCCTACCCTGTGACACTGCATTTGTCCAGACTTCTGCCTTTATTTGGTCTTTACCGTCATCTCTGTATCTGGCTTTCTCCCAGTGCAGTGTACCTTCCAGACCTCTGAGTTACTCTCCTAAAATGTGAATGGGCTCATGGCCCTCTGCTGCACCTGTTTTCCATCAAGATGAAGTGCAGCTAATCATACTCTTCCTGGTTTGGCCGCAGGAAGCCCTTGTGCTCTTATCTGGCCATGTAGACTCTTTTCTTTGGAGGAGGAGGTAAGATGTTTTAATTGAGTTTTTAGCACACAGCTGGGCAGCTCCAGGGAGCGCCTGGCAATGGTCTTCAGTATCCTTGGTGCTGCCACCTTGGTGACCTCCCTGTGCTGCCCACCCTGGGGCAGAGCCTCCTGGGAAGCACTCAAAACGGCAGACAGGGAAGGGGCCTTATGTGTCACGTGGACAGAAAATATATGAGGGCACAAGCTGGGAGAATTGAAGGGGAGCAGATGAACAGTGAGGACAGGGTTGGTAGCAATTATGGCATAGACTCCTCTTGGGCTCAGGCTGCAGGGCCCAAGGTGTAGTGGGGGTCTTGCTGCCTGCCACCACCAAGCACACATCACCCCAAGGCAAGCAGATGCCCCTGCTGTCTGCTGGACCCTCAGACAGACTACCGTGACCCCAGGAGACCTGGAGGCACCGTTCCATCATACATATGAAGACTGATGTAGGGGGTAGGCAGAGTTCCCTAACAAGGGCTGAGCAAGGCACTGAAATCAAAAGGGAAGAGGCCTGTGAGGCCCTCACCTGAGAAGCAGCTCTAGGCTCCAGAAGGTGAGACCAGGCCCAGGGCTGGGGCCGCAGCGTCAGGAAGGACCCCCGGGCCCTGAAGCAGGAGAAGGCACATTGAAAATGCAGAGTCCATCAGTCACCTGTGTCCAAGGTCGCTGGCCCAGTAGGTGTGCTTGTGATTAGGAGGGGCTGGGGCTCTGGGTAGTTAGCTGGGAACCTGGCCCTCCTTGCACAGGCATGGAGTCCATGCAACCCCCAGCCCCACAATACCTGAGGGACAGAGAGGATGGACACTGAGCACCCAGAGCTGGGGCCCCGTCAGTGCTGGAGAGGGGCGAGGTCAGCCAAGCAGTTGATGCCTGACCCAGAGCCTTGGCTTACTGACTTCGTGCCACGCCTCTCTACTCGCTTCCTCAAGCACCTTGGTCACTCCTTCCTTTGTGCCCTGGGCACTACTATCGCCCCAAGGGGTGGTGACCTTTGATGTACTATGTTGAAGGTGCTTTCTTCCCCCACCAAGCAGAGTCCTTCAGGGATAAGGCCACTGTCTGTCAGACCTTGCTGTGTCTGAGCAGCAGGTGCCTGCCTTGCAACTATTTCAACAGCTCCATGTATGCCTCAGTTTTCAGTTTCTTTTTTAGTGTCTGGAATGGGAAATAAGAGATTTTGGAGAGGTTTTGGGAAAGAAGTGATTTAAAGCGGAGTTTGATACATGGCTATGACTGGCTCAGTGACATGCCACCTGTTCATCAGTCATGCCTCATATTCTTGGCTCTCTGGGTCCTAGATTACTGTTTACCTGGGAAGGGAGAATCATAGCTGACTGAGCACATCTGTGTGCTGAGCTGATTGTGACACTTGGAGGGAGAATTAGAAGGGGTATCTTTGGTCCTGTCATTCAGAGCATTCATGGAGGGAATAGGTTCACTGCTTTTGAAGAGGCAGGATGTAGACAGGTGAAGGGAACCAGTGTGCATGGATGCTTGGTAGTGGTAGCAAATGAGGGGCAGAAGTCAGTGGTGGGGCCTGAAGAGGCCCTAAAAGAGCAGCACAGTAAGATGTTCTTGCTAATGTAGAAAACAAGAGGCCCTTGTGAGTATTTGGCTGGGGCGGGAGACTGAGGAAGATTTGTCTGCAGAGAAGAATAAGAAAACCTGTTCTTTAGGTATGGGACCAGGAGTGTTAGAGTAGTTCAGAGCTTGTGAAGAGATACAGCACCCCCAAAGATAAAGGGCAGTGAGTAGAGAGGGAAAAGGGAATCAGAAACCTCTGGGCAAGGATTGTCTGCGCATGGGTACAGCTTGCATATCAGAAGGGAAGAGTTACAGGTTTTAAAATGGAAACTAGAGGAAACCTGGTGCCATAGGTAGAAAAGGAGCTGTTTGGGAAGGGAGTAAGTATTTTTTAGAGGTATCCAATTAAAATAAAAAATTTTTATGTCAAAAACCTGGGTCTGAGCCCTTTTATCTGCCCCTTATCAGCTAGTGTAATCTTGGGCAAGTTACTTAACCACTCTGGGCCTCTGTTTTATCATCTATAAAATGAGAATAATAATGTTCACTGCTTGATCCATGGAAGGTTCTTGAGGCTATGGGAGGAATGAGATGTGAGCCTGAGATGACATCACAGTGATGGGTTGTGAACTGGTTGGACTTGAGGATTATATATAGGCAGATCCCAAATACTACCCATTTTCTTAATTAGCTGCCTGAAGACCTGCCCATAGACCCCTGTCTGGTCCCTCTCAGCTCTCTTGTGAAGTGGCTGGCACAGAGGGGGCTGTTGGAGAGCACCTGTGGACAGAGGCCTGGCACTCAGTGAAGGGAGTGCAGGAGTAGTCTTGGCAAGAAAATGGGCGTTGTGTTTGAGGGGAGGTGTTTGGAGTGTCGGTGCACATGAGAGTCCCCAGAGAGGAGTCTGAGGAGAGTGGATGAGTCAGATGATGGAAGGTTCAGGGCCCAGTGCCTTGGGCCTGCTTCCTTACCTAGACTCTATGGGTGGGACTAGTTACACTTAGCGCCACAAGAAAGAGGAATTTCTAGCAAAGATGGAAATGTTGCCATGCTTTGTATAATAATCATGTGAAAGATGTTTTCATTGTTGCTTCCCCAGGACGACCCCTCAGGTGAAGGAGTCTTGCCACTTGCACTCAGCTTGCAGCCCCCTCTGGTCCATCCCCTGCTCACCGTGGACTTACCTGTATACGTTCTCCAGGTCTGGATGCCTTATTACAACTCCTTATTTTTATTCTTAGAACTTTTAAATTAAAGTATTTCCTAGCTTCAGCAGATTAGTCACTGAGCTAGGTTCCCTGCAAAGACTCTGGGCTGGTTTCCATGGACCTTGTGCTGCTTTTGGAAAAGGCAGGTCGATGACAAGTTGGAGAGTATGGATAGCTCAGATTGGCTCATCCTGGAGGTCTCTTGCAAACGAGATAAGATTTAGTATGCCCTTGGAGTATTTGTTACTAAAAATTTCTTGTTGCTTTCTCCTATGGGAAGTAAGCTGGCTAGTTTTTCTTATGTGGGGAGAAGACCCAAGAGAATTAAGTTGCTGAGAATGGGTGACGTTGGAGAATTCAACTTTGAATATGAAAGAATGGAAGTATGAGCTTACCTAATTATCAGTACAGCTTAGATTTTTTTTTTTTTAAATCTAGAGTCAATTTTGTTACATTCACATGGGGCTAATTAGCATTTTCCTTAACATCAAAAATAAATATAAACTAAAGCATTGGTGAGAAACAGAGGGTTGGCACTCAGGCTGCTGAGGGTGTATAAATTGGAACATACTTTGTGTATCTATTGTATATCACAATCCGAGTAGTGTCTCCTCCATTTTGTCTGGCAATTCTACGCCTAAGGAAATAAGGTGATGTATAAGTAATTGGGCAAACGATGCTCATTGTGACATTGATTTATTATATAAAAAAGTAAAAAATTGTCTTCTAACGAGATGGATCCAATGAGTCTTGGTACAGCCATGTGGCTGCAATACTGCCTAGCTATTGAAAATAATACAGGTGAATGCTTAATAACTTGGGAAGATACTTAACCATGAATGAAGTGGGAGAAGGTTATAAATGAAATAACCTCATTCATATTCAAGTGATCTCATTTTTATAAAAAGAGACTAGTATGTGAGCCATTGATCATTGTGGGTATGTAAAAAATACAACGACAATATAGTATTGAGTCCATTTTCACTTCATTCTGTTCATATTTGGATTTTTTTTTTTCAAAGAGTATGCTTTTAAAATATGGGAAAACATGTTCTTTTTAATTAAGAAAAGTCAGATGTGCCTGATTGGTCTCATTAGTTTCTGGTGCTTGATAATGGACCATAAGAAAATTTGGGTGGAGAGCTGAGATGTCATTCTCTGAGGTGTGTGTGTAATTTTGGTCCCAGTCAAGCTACTGGCCTTCAGAGCCCGATGATGGTCTGTTTCTGGCCTATCCCCATTCCATTTGTCCCTTACACTCTCTGCTTGGCTCACAGGAGGTGTTCCCAGCCCCGGAGGATGCCACTGGTCCTGAGCCTGCACAGTTTGCCAGAAGCACCATCAACCTTCAGGACTTGCAGTGAGAGCCCCTGAAGATTCAATTCCTGTGGGTGTGGCTAGGACTCCCACTCAGCTTCTGCTCAAAAGTCCAGCCTAATTCTTCAGAAAAAGTTTTTTGGTCCATTTATGGAAAATGTTTTTTTTATATTTTACCAGGAACCAGTATGGGGCTGTGCTGTTTGAATGTGCCCTGTACAGATGCAGTACTTTGAGATGCAGGGCTTACCTCTAGAGAGGCCTGTGTTGAGTCCTTACTAGCCACCTATGCAGAATGTCCTTCCCGTCCCTCTTGGCCTAAGCCCTGCAGCACTTGTTGCATTAAGAAGTAAAAGATGTCTGCAGGAATAGGATAGAATTCAGGTTTCCCAGTAGAATCTAGCTTTCTCTCATGAATCATATGGGGTCTTTTAACTTTTCACTATTTTGGCATTTTGCCTGCGGGATACCTAGAAAGATTGTTGTCTCTAAGAGCTGTAAGGCCATCTCCCAGTCACGTGGACAGTGTTCGTAGTCAGACTGATTTTGCCATGTTGTAGGTGGCTGTGGCACCCTCCCAGAGAAGCCAAGTTCTAATCCATGTTCTTGCTATGACAGTAGACCAGGCAAGTGCAGGACAAGCAGGAAGCCAGTTTGGAGGGAAGTAGTGGTAAGTGCAGTGGGCCATCAGTGGACCTGAGCAAGCCCTGCTTCATAGGCCCCAGGTATCATTCATAGTTTGGGGATGGTAAAGTTAACACTTTTAAAATAATCTTTCTAAATTCTGTTGTTGAGTATTAATGTTTAATAGTAATTTGACAACAGTTTATACAGTGATGTTCTGAATACTATAAATTATGTATAGGACTGTAATAATGGTATGTGTATGTTTTCTTATTGTTGAGGTTTAAGATGTGCATATAATATGCCAAGGTATATATGTTCAGAGTAAGGTCTGTCTTGGCAAAAAGACAAGTTGATAATCTTGCACATATTTATTTGTTAATTACAGTTGATGGATTGGACACAGGGTCATTCAGAAATGCTTTTTTGCCTTGTGCCTTTTGGAGTGTATGTTTGTTCAACAGATACTGTTTTGGTTCTCAGACTGGAATCATCCAAATTCTGCCAATTCTGTGTGTGTTTCTTGAATTTTGGGCTTTGGCTTTTTGGAGTGACTCCAGTGCTTTCTGTGATTCCTATGTCTGTCCTGCTTAGAGGTACATCTGCCCAGAGTACTTTTCTGCTGGAAAATTTGAAACCACATTTATAAACGGTTCTTTTCCACAGAAGTCTGTGCTGCAATACACACTGGCGTTCAGGGATTGAACATGCCCACCTGGCCTTTGCCCCAGCCCATCTAGGACTAGCAAATACTGCCTTCCTCTCTGAGGAGCTAGGCACCCTCTGGTGTGGCTATGGGCCCTGTGTGTCCAAATGGGCTCCCTCACTCCCTCCCTAAAGGGAGGAGGGTCTAGCCCACAGGAGCACCACTTCTTGGGGGCATGGTCTCTGTCTCTCCCCTCCACAGGCCTTGGGGATCATGCACCACAGATTGGGGTAGGCTGTCAACATCTTGTGGGCATAGAGGTTCACTGCTGGTGATGGGCCCAATTCCCAGTGCACATGAATAAAAGTTTTTGTATAGTCATACACCAAAGGTTTTTGTTGGTTTAATTCAAGGAACTGTGGTACTGTGGGTATAGATTGTTGAAACTTTTTCCCCCCCTTCAATTAGTAGTAATCACCTGTTGCTTATGTTTCTCATTTTCACATCAGGGATAATTCCACACTGCATCTTTTCATGAAATTAGAGCTTCCATCCCAATGCTTTTGTCTCTTAAAGCAGCTCTTTTAAAGGAGAACCAAGATGGTGCTCCTTCTGTCAAGCACAGGCTTAAGGCCAAATAATGAAAGCATCATCTTCCTTATATAGGCCTCCAGACATCAAGGAGACATGGAGTTTATTTAAGTGGGAGAAAAGAAATGTACAGAAGGGAACTGCTAGAATGCACAGGGCACAGGCTCTGCTTCCACTGTTGGCTTCTTTCATACACTGTCAGCTGCACTCCCCAGGCGGTTCCATGAAGGTTAGGTGAAGAAGAAGAGCTGCTCTTCCTTTTCCTTATCCATAAACATGTGTTCAGACTCTTCCTTTGTTCTGAGAACTGGGGGCCGGGAACGGCACACCAGTTTTCTGCCTTTCTGCCAAGAGGAAATGAACATCATCAGTGTCTGTTTTGTGTCATCTCTGCCCCAAAGGCCTAGCTTAGTGTGATGATTTTCATAATACTCCCCAAACCCTAATGGGGGAGGAAGCCAGAGAACCTCTGGGCAGGTGTAGCCCTGCCTAGGAGCCTTTCAGTGGCCACAGTCAGCTCTTCTGGCCAGCCCAGTGGGATTGAGTTTGATTGATTCAGACATAGCTTTGGTGTCAAAAGGTCTATATCAACATTTGCTAACATAAGTTCCATGGAACACTAACTTCTAAATGCTGAGGGGGGCAGTGGCTTAGTCCCATAGCTTGGGGAATGCTGGGCTAGACAGTCCATTTCCTTTGCTGTGGGAACCGTGGAGACCCTAAAGCATTTGTGGAGTTCATAGGGGAATACTGGTTGGAGCAAAGGCTATTGTTCTCCACAGAGAACACTGGAGTCATCCTTACTGGTCAATTGGGAGGATCCTCCAAGCTCCCAGCCTGTTTTGGGGACACACTCTTGTTGCCAGGGCTTCCTTTGGCCAGAGTTCTCCTTGGACCCAAGGACACTGGCTACTGTAGCCCATTTGTGTAGAGGGGAGGCCAAGTGACAGCATGATGGGCTCCTAGGGACAGGCCTTGTGGGGGTGTGGAAGCCGGGACTGATTTGTCCCTATCAGCTCCTTAAGTGGGGAGTACATGTGGCTGGACTGTAATGTGAGGGCCCTGCCCTATGGCCAGTCATGGACCCAGAGTGTAGAGGAGTAGGGGGTGCCTATGGGCCTCTTGAAGGGGGTGCTATCAACCCCATAGGCTGGGAGATGTCCTGAGGCAGAAGAAGTCCCCAGGAGAGGACAAATCCCAAAAGGAGGGTAGTCCCTGGGACCTGGGTGTAGAAACCCAGCTGCCACCTGGCCTGCAGAGTCTCAGTGATGCCATCTGCAATGTGGGTTGGGGTACAGGGGCTGCAAGGGCAGCACTATGTACCTAGTCTTGGGACCTCACCCCCCAGGGTAATCACCTACTTTCTTCTTAATCTCTGCGTGGGCTCGGGCCCGGGCTCGCTGTAGACGCTCCTCCTGGAGCTGCTTCTGTAACATGGCCTTCTCTTCCCGTAGCCTGGGTAGCAAGAGATGGCATGAAGAACTGGGAGTTCCTGCTGACCTGCCCACCCCAGTACACAGTTCTGAAGATCAGGGATGCCCAGCCATTCCCTGCCCTGGCAGGGTATTGCCACTTCCCCACAGCCAAGGATGATGACACTTTTCTGGCAAAGATGCCCAGGGTCATCCTCTTCATCACTAAGGCCCATCAGACCATCCCCACAGGAGGCACAGACTCCCGTGTCCCTGACTGTCACTGCCCAGGACCATCACCATCATCCCTGTGGGCTCCAGCCCCCACAGGCTGGGTCAGTGTGGCCTTTGTCCCATCCTTTGGGTCAGCCAGCATATGCCAATCCCTGCTTCAAACAGAGTGCTAGGCCAGGGAGAAGCTTCTGTACTTGTGGGGCAGATAGGTGGCTGTTGGCAGATAGGGTCTCAGGGCTGGACAGGCAGGGACACTGGTGTACTGGGCTGCTAGACCTGTGTGGAGACCCCCTGGACCTCCCAAGGATGGACCAACACTGCACTCTGTTGTATTTGACACATGGAGCTGGCACTGCCTGCTCCAGCCCTAAACTCAGCCTGGGATGACCTAAAGCTCTCCCACATCCCACCTTGCCTCTTCTCCAATCCAGCCAGAAAAAAATTCTAACCAGGTTGGACCTGACCGTATTTGTCCCTGCATAAAGCCCTTCGTTGATGCCCCTTGTCTTCAGGGCAAGTCTCTGCTGGCTACCCTTTAACGCTGCTCCAGCTCTCGTAGATCCTTTCCCTTTCCTGAGCCTCCTATTTTGGTGCTTGTCAGTAATCAGCATTATTGTCACCTCCTCCAGGAAGTCCCCCAGATCCCCCAGGCTGTGTTTGGTGCATCCTCTAACATCCTACAAAGACCCCTGAGTTGCCATTTCTCAGCATGGTGCTAATGGGCCCTGCCCTCCCCTCCTTCAGGAGCTCTGGGAGGACAGAGACCACGTCTTCCCTCATGCCTCCCTTCAAGGAGCTGTGAAAGCCTGCCACTGCTCCAGCCTGCCCTCCTGTGTGGGATGCCTATGGTTGGCCCAGTGGGAAGGGCACACCCACCTCATGCGGCGCTCCTTCTCTTTAGCCTTCTCGGCCTGGTCAATCTTGGCCGGGGGCACACGCTCCAGGCTCTCGAGCAGCTCGTCCAGCTGGTGCTCAATGATGGTCAGCATCTGCACAGTGCCCAGGTTGGTGTCCTGCTGGGTGCCGATGCAGTGCCGATACACATCCAGCACCTTGCAGTTCAGACTTTCCAGCAGTTTGTCCTGCAGGAGGTGGACAGGCTTTAGCAGTCTAGCTATTCCATAGCTACCCAAGGCCCCCTGAGGAGGGCAGTGAGTATGTCCCAGGTGCTACCTGGAGTCCTGGCTCAGAAACCCCCTCCCTTTCTTGTGATCAGCTGGGTCCCTGCTCTGGCACAGGCTCACTCCCGCTTCTTGGCAGCTTTGCCAGCTGCCTCAACATGCACATCACTGCCCAGCCCCTTTTCTGGGGAGCCCTCCATACTCGCCCCCAAGATCACTTCCTGTTCCCTGATTTCTCTGAGGCTACTGGATACTTGGGAGATGATTAATACCACCTTTCTCCTAGGCTGGGTGGAATGACGTGAGCAGGGCCACTGAAAGGCCCTACAGAGGTACATCTGCAGTAAGTGACCCTGAGTCCCAGAGGCAGGGCCATACTCTCGCTCATTGCCCAGCACACCAAGAATGAATGAGGAAGCTGGGTCCTTATGGATGAGGGATCTAGGTGTGTGGTCAGGAAGGACACCAGCTGAGCCTGAGGTATCATGGAGCCTTTGTCCCCTCTGAGCTGGACTTGGGGACACCCCTTTTCCTCCCCACAGGTTCACCTTGTTAGACACAAATGTGTTGAAGAAACAGTTGTTGCATAAGAGACCAAAGGCTGAGTGATGTGTGGCCTCATTGGGCTTGGTTCCCAGGGTGATGGCCAAGGGAGGGCCACAGGCAGCCATTTAGCACCTGGCCGCACTTCCCAGCAGCATAATTTACTCCCCTTGTGGCCTGTCAGAGCTGAAGGGGCTTCTTTCCTGCTCTGGGCCTGTAGCCACCCCAGATCCCATAGAGACATCTCTTCCTGCCCTCCCTCCACCCTATGTCCATTGGCCTACCTGCTGAGCGCCTTGGTACTCTCCGAAGTAGAAGACTCGGGCTTTGAGCTCTAGCTCGGCAGCTGTCTCCTCCTCTTTGGCGATGGACATCATCATTGTGGTGATCCATTGCTTCAGTTGGTTGACCTCCCGGTCCCTGGGTGGGAGTAGGACCAGCAGGGTAGGCTCACTCAGCCAGACAAGGGCCTTTCCCCCTCTAAGGCCAGAAGGACCCAGCCATGGCCACTGTTCTGAGAGTTAATTGAACTCATGCATGTTTGCACAGGGCATGCAATAGGGGCCAAAATCATTCACATACCATAACATTCTTCTAAAGTGTACAGTTCAGTGGTTTTTTAATATATTTAGAGTTGTCTGACAATTATCATAATCTTATCTTAGAATATATTCATCATCTCAGAAGAAAACCTTGTACCCATTAGCAATCAGTCCCTATTCCTTCCTTCCCCAGTCCCTGGCAATGACTGATCTACTTTCTGTCACTATCAATTTGCCTATTCTGGACATTTCATATAAATGAAATCCTACAATATGTGATGTTTTGTGCCTGGCTTTCATTGAACATCAAAATGTTTCATGTTGTGGTATGCATCAGAACTTCATTCCTTTTTGTGGGTGAATAGTATTTCATTGTATGGATATACCACAGTTGTTTTATTTTTAATTCGTTTGGGTTGTCTCCACTTTTTGGCTATTAAGAATAATACAATGAACATGTATGTAGAAGTTTTTGTGTGGACGTAGGTTTTCAGTTCTCTTGGGTGCACATTTAGGAGTAGAACTGCAACAATCAACTTTTCAGCTACATAATAAAAATCAAAAAGTTCTTAACCATCATTATGGCAGACACTGTTGGGGTTTCTAGAGCAGGAATCCCAGCACTTGCAGTATGTGGCAAGGATCCAACCAGCATGTGCCAGTTGCTGGCACGTCCTGACCACAGTGATGGCAGTGAGAGCCAGCACTCCACTCAGTGGTGCTTGGGAACTTCAGAGGTGTCCTCCCACTCCCCATTGGCTCCCCCTTGATGTGACCACCTGAACTGCCTTATCTTACAGCACCACTGGTTATGACTTCTTTTGCCCATAGGTGTGGGCCACAGCTCCCCAGCAGTCCCAGGCTGCAACCCCCTGCTGTGGAGACTAAGGGTGAGGCTGACTCAGCTGGGCTTCTGGGGAGACAGGGTGAAGGCCAGGAGGTCAAGAATCCCTAGTCCAAACCCAAAGTCTACAACACATCCTGGTGTAGGCTCATTGGGAAATAGGTGGTAAGCACCTACTGGGTGCCAGATGCCAGGCCCCCAGCACTCAACCACAGGAGGTGAATGAGCTTGGTTCCAGGGTACTTCTTATAAATGATACACTATCACATTCTGTTCTTCACTTTCATTGCCACATTAGTAAGTCTGCTCTCAGAGCCGTGCCTGAGCTCTGTCTTTTTCAGTATATGGACTGTGCTTTGTGCTATTTCTTCTTGGAGTGACTGGGGAAAATACATTTTTTTTTTCTTCTCTTAATCTTTAAAATTCTTAGGTCACAACATTTTCTTCCCAAACTAGTTCCAACAGCCAATTTCACAAGAATAACAGAGGAACAGTGATACTGCAAGGACCAAGGGTGGCCCTTGGTATTATCTGGCTTTGCAGAAATGTAGAGTCTCAGGTCCAGACCTGATGAATCAGACACTTACTTCATTTTAACAAGACCTGGGGCTCTGAATGTGCTTTACAGTGTGAGAAGCACTTCACTACAGGAAAAGTGACGAGGCTTCTTTAACAAATAAACTGCAAGGGGAAAAAGATAGGAAACTTAAAGATCAAAGATGTATGCCAGCTGTAAAGTGTGGAATTAATTTGGATTCTAATTCAAACTAACAATTTAAATTTTTTTAAAACTATTTATGACATTTATGAGACTAGAAATTTGAAAATAGATATTTGATGTGATGGTGGTTAAGTTAAAGAGTCCTTAAGAGGCAGCCACTAGAATATTTACAGATGAGATGTACACTATTGAATTTGCTTCAGATTAATATAGGAGATGTGGAAATGGATGGGGTTCATAGGGACCAGATAGCTATGAGGGATCGATGGTGAAACTGGGGGATGAGAACCTGAGGCTTGTTAACACTATTCCACATTTGCATACATTTATATGTTTGAAACTCTTAGAGCTGTTGGACTGAATTGGAGAAGAAGTTATAAATTTTAAAATACAAGAAAGAGGATTCCTTCATAAATGCCTAGGTACACCAAGTCAGAAAATGTATTAGACTGGTATTAAAAATAAATACCACCAAACATTAATAAAAGCCATTCACAAGACCAAGCAAAAAACAAAGATCTACCATTTTTCTGCAGATACATCAGGAATAGCACCACCAACACACAGAACTTCAGCCTGAGCGTGTGGCCCTGCTGATCCTGGTATCTAGAATTTGGGAGGAATCAAATGAGGTGCATGGTTTCTTGGTTCCTTTATAGGTGCCCCAGTGTTTTTTTTGTTTTCTTGTCTGCTTTGGTGGTTGTAGGTGTGCTTGTTCTGTCTGCAGTTCCATTGGGATGTGTCTGCGTGTGTGTCCTTCCTCCAGCACTTCGCTTGGGCCATGAGTTGCAATGCCTTGTCCGTTCAGGAAGGTTCGCCTCTGCTATGCGGCTGGCCTTTGCTTTTCCTCCATTTGCTCTGTCCTCATCTTCTGTAATCCCTGTGATGTCACTCAGTGTATCCTCCTCATGGTCTGTCCTTTTCTCCCCTCATTTCCCTCTTATTCTCTGCCTCTGAGTTCTGGGAGGTTCCCTCAGAACCTGGCTATCTGCTGTTTCATGTCTTCCTTGCAGTCTTACCTGTGTTCTTCCTGCTCTGGAGGGGTCTCTCAGGTGTCATGGATGCAGTGCCTCTCAGGAAGAGGAATTAGACATTATCTCCTAGTGTTTGCAGAATCTACACTATAGAAAAACATTTGCTTTGATTTCTTAAACTTATTGAGTGTATTTTATCACGTCCTTGGTGAATCTTTGTTTGCTTGTCCTTAGAGCTGTAAATCAACACCAGCTGTGCCATTTTCATCTGGTTTTGGCTGGGGTTAGTGTGCAGGTTGTTATTGAGGAGCTCTGGTAGCATAGTGCCTAAGGCACTTGACTGCTAACCAGAAGGCTGGCGGTTCAAACCCACTAGCCACTCCTCGGAAGGAAGGTTGGGCAATCCTACTTCCGTAGTGATACTGCCTCGGAAACCCAAGGAGGGGTCGCTATGAGTCGGGGCCGACTCGACTCGACGGCATATAACAACAACAACAACAGTGTGCAGGATGGTTCCTCTGGGCCATGGAGTTTCATTTCCACAAGGTAGTGGCTGTCCACAACTTGTCACCCCAGTCCCCTTCCTTCTACTGGGGGTTAGGGCGGCCAGGAGCTGGCTGTGTAGCCTCTCCTGCCCCTGATGCTCTGCCTGCCAGAGGCTGGTGCTTACCTCTGGCCCTGATGCTCATGGTGATGGGAGAGTCTGGTATCCTTCTGTGTAGACTGGCTTATTTTCTGACTTATTCACTAGGCTAACCCTCCTTGGAGAAGTCGGCAGCTCTGCACAGTGTCCAGGAATGATTTCAGACTTGGTTTCTCTCTTCTGTTCCCTTGGCCACCATGGTGGGAACCTGGGAGGGGCTAGTGTCTTGTTAGGTTTTTGTCTCACCAGAACACCTCTGGTCACTTCCTCTCATTGATTCATGCCTTTACATACCCCACAACTCCTTCCACACACACTCTGGCTGCCAGGAAGTACAGCACTAGTTTTCATGTTCAAGCTCTGTCACTTCCCAGAGTGTACTTGTGCTCCTTGTCTCAGGTTCCATCTTCCTGAGTCTGGGCTCTCCTTGGCCCCCACTGGAAGGGGCTGGGGTGTGAGTGTCTCAACTCTCAGCGGGGTGGGCAGAGAAGAGGGCTGGGACTAGGGACAGCAAGGGAGGTGCCAGGGGCACATATTTTAAGGGAGCCTTACTCGGGTGTACATGCATCTCCTTAAATTTTATGCCCCAGGCACCTCCTTTACTTACTCTAACCTAGCTGTACAGAGAATAAATGATGCTCCATCCTCTAGTCAAAAGACTAGGCAGAAATGGATTCACCTGGTGGTGTAGTGCCTAAGGCACTTGAATGCTAACCAGAAGGCTGGCGGTTCAAACCCACCAGCCACTCCTCCGGAGGAAGGTTGGGCAATCTACTTCTGTAGTGATACCACCTCAGAAACCCAAGGGGTCACTATGAGTTGGATCTGACTCGATGGCAATGAGTTTGGTTTTTTTGGGTTTTAAAGCCCTTAGACTCATAAAGTTAATGTGCAAACTCAGGTGACAAAGTCATAAAAAGCCCTAAGTTGCTACTATATATTTGTTATTGAGGAGCTCTGGTAGCATAGTGCCTAAGGCACTTGACTGCTAACAAGAAAGCTGGTGGTTCAAACCCACCAGCCACTCCTCGGAAGGAAGGTTGGGCAATCTACTTCCGTAGTGATAACTGCCTTGGAAACCCAAGGAAGGGTCACTATGAGTTGGGTCCGAATCGATGGCACATAACAACAACAACAACATCTTACCAGCACTTCTAAGCTGATATTTAGAGAGTCCACAGAACAGGGGACTGGGGATAGCCTCCAGCCAACAGCCAGTGAGGAACTCAGGCCTCAGTGTAATGATGCTTTGAGACACTGGATCCTGCCAGCAACATCGTGGCATCAGTTCCTCTCCAAGTGGAGCCTTGAGATAACCACAGCCTAGCCAACCTTGATGGCAACTGTGAGAGTCTTGAAGCAGAGGAGCTGCTAAGCTGTGCCCAGAGTCTGGTCCCACAGAAATCATGAAATAATAAGTGGGTGTTATTTTAAGTTGCTCAAATTTTAGGGTAATCTGTTATGCAATAATAATACAGCTGGCTCTAGAGCTTTATTCCTCTATCATAATGTCTGTGAGATATATCCATATTGCTGCTTGTATTAAACTTGTTCCTTTTTATTACTGAGTATTAACTTCATGGTATGTAAAGACCTCCCTCCCAAAGGTGTGTACATATTCTAATCTCCAGCACCTGTGAATATGTTGTGTTAATCTCAAAAGGGGAATTAAGGTTGCTAATAATCTGACATTGAGGTGGGGAGATAGATGATCCTGGATTATCTAGGTGGGCCCAGTCTAGTCATAAAGTTTCTTATAAGTGAAAGAATATGACAGGAGAGTCAGAAAGAGAGATGAGGAAGACTCAAACTGCCATTGCTGCTTTGTACAAGGGTCCACAAGCCAGGGAATGTGGCTGGCTTTAGAAGGTGGAGAAAAAAGGAAATGATTTCTCCCCCAGGGCTATAGAAAGGAACTCTGCCCTTCTGACCTCTAGAATTGTTAAGATAATAAATTTATGTTGCTTAAAGTCTCTCCATTGTGGTAATTTGCTGCAGCAGCCCTTGAAAACGAATGCACATGGTATGGAAGTACCATATTCACTTGCTAATGGACATCTGGGTGGTTTTCATTCTTGGCAATTATGTGAATCTACTACGAACATTCTTGTGCTATTTTTTGTACATTGTTTCTCTCACACAACCATGCTTGCTTCCAGTGCTGGGACAGATTTCTCACTCCTTGTTGTCTATATTTTAAACACTATGTTGTTTGCCATGGAAGGGTGGTCGAGTTCATGGACGTTAAGTTCACCTGGTTGGGACTTCTAGAAATAAAGTGTTCTCAGGGGTGGCTCACCATCAGCATGGCTGCTCCCACTGAAGACTAGCACTGGCTTGGCACCTGCAGGCTCTGCTCTGGTATGTGTGCATGAGTGTGCATGTGGATGTACATGAGTGAGTGTGAGTGTACATGAGTGCATGCATGTATGTGCATGTGTGAGTGTGTGTTGAGGATGGATTGTGCTCTGGCTGGGTTCTCTGGGACACGAGGAGGCTGCTTGCCTATCCTTGGTGCACCTGTCTTTGCCTCTGCTACCTCTGAAATCTTGCCTGAGAATTGATAGTTTCATATCATTCTGAAGACTTACCCACTGGTAACCACAGGACATGGGTACTTGTGAGCATAACTCACCCATGGGGCACTGAGGCCAATAGGCAGCCCCCACCTCAAGGCCTTTGCCCTTTGTCTAGAATGCTCTTCCCCTGCATGTGGCTAGCTTCCTTCCCTATCCCTCATCCCTCAGTGCGTTCTTGGCCTGTTCCTCCCATCTGCTGTTATTCTCCACCTTAATTCCTCCTTCTTGGTCATTTAGCTTTGTGTTCCTTTTAACACATGTCAGTACCGAGACATCTGTTGTCTGTGCCCCATTGGAAGGTCAGCTCCAGAAGGTTAGGGCCTTGATCTAACCTTGCAGGGCCTAGAACCAGGCCTGGCCCAGGAGAGAGGCTTGGTGAGTATTGTTCCAGGAATACATGACTTCCTGCTTCCTTCCATCAGTCCTTACCCTGCCCAGCTGTCCTGAGCCCAGGTAGCAGGTACCTGTAGAGCCCCTCCCTATACCAGCAGGGGAGACAAAGCACTCCAGGTCCCTTCACACACACTCTTCTGGCCTAACTCCTTGGGACTGGGTTTCCCAAGGGTCTTGATAGGGCCCTGACTGCCTTGCCAGGCTGGACATGCCTGTATGCCTCTCCTCTTCTAGGAAGGCCTTTCTGGCTCAGGTTGCAGAGCTCCTGGCCTGCTTCCTGGGCCCTGAGGTCCTCAGCCCTGACCATCACTGCTCTTGAGCTGGCCAGATAACCCCACTTGGCCCAGGCCTAACCCACACTGGTCCTAGCATGCCTCTCTAACAACACCTACTCTCTGTTCTCTCTCAAGAGGCCTGCTTCCACTCCATTTGTGCTGCTCTGTCCACTAAGAAATGGCTGAAAACAGCAAGTACAGCTGTAACTAATGGCATAGGTCAAGAGGCTTTGTCCCTTTCCTATTCTGTGATCAAACCAAACCCACTGCCATCAATCAAGTTGATTCTGCCTCACAGTGACCCCCATTGGGTTTCTGAGGCAATAAATCTTTATGGAAGTGGATTGTTTCGTCTTCCTTCTGTGGAGTGGCTGATGAGTTTGAACTGTCAACTTTCTAGTTAGCAGTCACGTGCCTTAGGCACTGCACCACCAGAGCTCCTTATTCTTTGATAGGTACACCTGTATATGCAAACACAGCTTCCAGCCCCTTCCACCCAGCTTGGCCCTGAGTGAGCCATTGGGCACCTCCACCCAAGCCTGCTGCCAGGCTTGCTTTGAACTATTCTCCCTCCTCAGGGCTCGTCATCCTGTACCAGGGCATCAGGGGCCCAGCAGAAGGAGTCTGGGGTGTGAAGCCCTGGGGCATGGACCAACCTTGGAGGGTTCCCCCTGCCCCAGGATAGAGGTTGCCTTACCAACACGGGACTTACATGCGGTTCTGGGTGTTTTTCAGGGTGAAGCTCAGCTCCTCCAAGGTCTCTTCCATCTCTTGCGTGTTTTGAATCAGTGAGAGGTTCTGCTCCTCCAGCTTGGTGAAGACGTCCAGGAGCTGCTGGGGCTCGGTGAAGTAGAGCTCCAGCTCCTGCGACAAGATGGGATCGTGGGCCGTCCCGCCCCCACTCCAGTGCCCGCCCCAATTCCCGTCCCAGCTGGGCCACTGACCTCGCTGTCGCTGTCCGGGTCCTCCTCCAGGAGGATTCCAGAGCTCGACCTGCGGAGAAGCGGGACTCAGCCACGCCAGCAGCAGGCCGTGAGCTATGGGGATGTGGAGGGCGGGGTGGGGATAGTCTGGCGGAAAGCCCCTAACCCGCCCGCCCTCAAGCTGCACCCTAGGGTCCCTAGCTGTCTTGCCGCAGCCCTAAAGGACTTTGCACCTCTCAGAGCACCCCCTCCCCGTTTCCAGAACGGTTTCTCGTCGCATTGGGTAAAGCGCCCCGGCCCTTCAGTCCGCGCGCTGCAGCTCCACGGCCGCGAGTGAGACCCCCTGCCCAGCCACCAATGCTGATCCGTGATGGGCAGCGTGGGTAGTGGTCACGGGGCGTCTGCATCCAGAGCCCACCTGAAGAGTTTAGGGAGTATGGCGTGGGGGCAGCTGGAAAGCCACTGGATGGAGACCCTCCTGGGCCTAATAGCTCCTATCCCTATCTGCTCAGACTGGGAATGCGGGGCTCCGTGGCTGAGCCACACCCTTGGGACCAGGCCCTGACTCCTTCGCACATGGGCACTCAAGCTGCACCAGCTTCAGAGCTCTTTCCCAGTGTGGCTTCTGATCCTGGTCGGCCCAAAGAACACATGAGGCCTGGGACATCCTCAGCTCCCTGAGGGCAGGCCTGAGAGTCAGATCTGACCCAACTCTGAGTTATAAGACTGAAGTGGAGACAAATAATCCCACCTAGGTGGCAAGTGCAAGGCCTTTGGAAGCCCAGAAGGGAATGGAGATCCCCAGCAAACAGTTCCAGGCCCACTTTACAAACTAGGAAGGGAGGTTCAGTGAGGCGGGCCACTCTACCAATGACACCTGCAGGGCACTGCAAGCCCATAAGGTGCCTTTCTGAAAACCCACTCTCCAAATGGCTGTAGCCAGGGTAGGATCCTGGACCACAAAGGAGATGGTCTGGACTCTTACTGGCCCTCTCCGCCTAGCAGTCACAGCCTACCCAGCCACACTTAACAGCTCTGCCACATGGTTGACAGGTGGAGGGCCAGGATTTACATCTCTGCTGTCAGCTACTCCCCAACTTAGGGACTCCTCACTGAGATGAACTGAAGTACTGCATAGCTTGCTTTCAGGGCATTATCCTTCCCTTAAGGAATGTGCTTGGCCTAGCCCTGACACTGTAGTAGTATTTGTCTTCTTGAAGAGGCCCCCTGGCCACAATGGGTCAGGATTGAAGATTAGAAGAATGAGAGCCAGTTTGAAAACTGGTGATAGTTGGGTCTGTCCAGCTTGAGAAGCAGCTGTTGGGGACATGGGAGGCTGAGGGTAGACATCTAAAAGGGATACTTATTTGGATGTAGAGCTCAGGGGCAGGTGGTGATAAATTCAGGGGAGTCAGATGGTCATAGAGAAGGGAGGGCAAAGGATGGGACATGCAAGGAATGAGCAGAAGACAACTTGCAAAAGAGAGAGGATGAGGGAGGGCAGCCGGGACCCCTGACCTTGTGTGTCATGCCACTGCCCTCATCAAGCCACTGCCACCTCCACCTGGATTACTGAAGCAGCCTCCCTCTAGGGTTCCCATTTCCAACCTCACCGTGCAGTCTGATCTTCATCCTGGTCAAACTTCAGTCACTCCCCTTTACCTAAAACCTAACGCGGGACAGCCAAGATCTAGCTGTAAAAGGAAAAGCAAAAAAGCTTCCTGAGGAAGACATGAGAGAGTATCTTGATGACTTCAGAGTTAGCAAAGATTTCTTGAAACACAAAATCACACCAACCACAAGAGAAATGATTAGTAAATAGTCTTCATTAAAATTTCTGTTCTGAAAAAGACAATAGAAAGACAGTAATAAGGCAAGACACAGACTCCAAAAAGAAAAACCAAACTCATTGCCATTGAGTTGATTCTGACTCCTAGTGACCCCCACTGGGTTTCCAAGGTTGTAAGTCTTTACAGAAGTAGATTGCCCCATCTTCTTTCCACAGAGTGGCTGGTGGGTTTGAACCACTGATCTGGTTTGCAGCCAAATGCCTTATCCACTGCACTACCAGAGCTCCGTAAGACACAGACTAGGAGAAGGTATTTATAATACACTTATCACATAAAGGGCCAAATATATGGGCAGAATAGAAAGCCATAAGAAAAATGCCAGTGATCCAATATGAATGGACAAAAACTGAGCAGGCACTTCATAAAGGGAGATAGATCTCTGAATGTGCAAAAAACATGAAAGAGGTTCATATTTGTCATCAGGAAAACATGATTAAAACTATAATGAGGTATCACTTCACCCCCATCAGCATCGCTAGAATGAAAAGAACCGACACCACCAAGATTTGGTGAGGATGTGTACAACTGGAACCCTGCTGGTTTGCATGTAAAATGGTGTGACCACTTTGGAGAACTACTTGGCAGCACATATTAAAGCTAAACACATGCCTACCCTGTGAACCAGCAATTCCACTCCTTTTTAAGTCATGGACAAGATGTTTGTAGCAGCTTTAATTAACATAACCAAGAACTGGAAACAACCCAAATAACCAGTAAGACTTGACAACTTGGGGTTGATTCATATACACTTTCTGAAAAAACTGGTGGACTGCCTCACAAACAAGGTAAACATCAAGTGAAAGAAGTTAGACCAAAAGAGGACATGTTGCCTAATATAATGATGCCAAGTTTAAGAGCAAGGGCACATCTTCCAGAATGATAGAGATCAAAATAGTGGTTACCTCTGCGGGGGTCTGATTGGGAGGGAGAAATAGGGAGTTCTGGGTACTGAAAATGTCCTATGTCTGGATGTGGGTGGTGTTACATGGGTGTGTATGTGTATGTGAAAATTCAATGAAGTTTTCAATTAAGATTAGCTCATTTTATGAACTGTCAAACCTCAATTAAAAAAAAAAAAAAAAAACCCTAAGCCAAATTTTGTCACTGCTTGCCACCTGTCAGTGGGCTCCTGCCTTGACCTCTCCAGCCCTCCTCCTTCTCTCCCTACTCCACACCCACTGGCCTCTTCAGTGTTCCTCAAACAAACAGGCTTACTGAACTCAAGGCCTTGCACTAGCTGTCCTGTTTGCCTGTTGCACTTTCCCCTCAGACACCCATATCTTCACTCTGACCTCCTTCAAGTTCTTGCTGAAATGCTGTGTCTCAGTGAGGCCTTCCCTGACTACCCTATTGCATCAGAATGCCTCTACCCCAATACCTCAGCTCCTTGCCCTGCTCTCTGGTGGCACAGTGGTTAAGTGCTCTGCTGCAAACTGAAAGGTCAGTAGTTTGAACTCACCAGCTGCTCTGTGGGAGAAAGATGTGAAAGTCTGCTTCCATAAAGATTACAGCCATGGAACTCCTATGAGAAAGTTCTACTCTGTCCTACAGGGTCACTATGAGTCTGAATCAATTGAAGGCAATTGTTTGTTTTAAATAGCACTTGTCATTGTCTGCTATCAGTGTATTGCCCCCCACCCTTCAATATTGCTGGTGGTGATAAGTAGCAGAATTCATTTTAGCATTTGTCCTTTTACATGAGGACACCTCAATGGAGGGTACTGGATGGATGTAGCAAAAGGAAGAAGCTTCCTGCAACTTCTGGTGCAAGTAGAGGAGTTTCATCAGTGTGTGTACAGCATGGGGTCTTGTGGGGCTGTGTAGCCTTGGCCAGACCCTCTCCTCAAAATCAGCACTACATGCAGTTTTCTGGAGCTCAGAGGGCCACCACTGAGCTGTCATTCCTTCTACAAGCACACCCTCCCCACAGTGTGATCCATCCACATGCTCTGAAGGCCTCCTGCCCTGCTGGCCCCTGTACACTTATACCACCAGCTTCTGATCACCCCTCCAGGGTGGCCCATTGTTTGCCTGGTGACTCCAGACCAGTTCCTTTGTGGCTGAACTGGAGAACTTCACTGCTATAGGTGACTGAACCACTCCCACTGAGGTCTAAACCCTGTCCAAGTCTATTGCTAGGAACTTCATGGAGTTTCCCAATCCAGTAAACTTGTGTACAATCTCCTGTATGGCTTCTATCTCCATTGAACCCAGGTAGTCTCCTGACACACGCTATCAACTCCTGCTTCTGTCTGTCTGCTCTGTCAAGCTTTCTTTGTCTCTTTTATATCTCAAAAGCCCAGTGTCTGCCATATAGCAGGTGCCCAGCAGTGCTTGTGGAATAAAGAGGGGGAGTGAGTGCTATCAGTGTCAGAGGCTGCTTAGTGGGAAGAACTAGTTCAGAGGCAGCTGTTCAAGAAGGGGCAGGGAGAGAGAGGAGAAGTGCAGTGAGAGGGGTAGAGGGAAAGACTAGAGGAAGAAGGAGAGGGAGGAGGAGAAAGGGAAGAGGAGGGCAAAAGGAGAAGCAGAGGAAAAGGGGAGTAGGAGGGGGAAAGAAGTAGAGGGAGAGGAAAGAAAAAGAAGGGACTGGAGTAGGGGAAGAAGGACAGGATGAAAGGGTGGAAGAAAGTGGATGCAGAGAGTGGGAGGGGAGGAGATGTGAAAATGTCCTAGGGTGACATTGAGGGTAAATAGAGTTAACTACAGAGGGTACCTGTACTCTATCTACTCTGGTTTGGCTTAGGGTTTTTTTTTTTTTTAATTGAGGTTTGACAGTTCATAAAATGAGATAATCTTAATTGAAAACTTCATTGACTTTTCACATACACATACACACCCATGTAACAACACCCACATCCAGACAGAGAACATTTTCAGTACCCAGTGGGGACCATGTATGGTGGCAGCCTCCAGGAGTGCAGGGGGTTAAGGAGATGAGAGAATAGGGGGCTTCTCCTAGGAGGTGCAGGTGGAGCTTGTCAGTGGTCACTCTCAGGGCTGCAAAGCATAGGGTCTGTGAGGGACATCAGTACGGTGCAGGGGGATTTTATGAAGTGGCCAAGAGGTGGTCCTAGGATATGAGTGGTGGTGGTGGCATGGAGTGAAAGTCACTGGAACTGAAATGATCCAGTATGAGGCCTGGCCTCCAGCTGGATACACGGGGTAGCCAAACTGGTCTTCTAACTGCAAATGATTCTGCTCAGCCTATAGTTAGACACAGCCTTGAGTCCCCAATTGCTATAGCCTGGGGCCATGGATGGGCACTGCCAAGGCAACCCTGTTTTACCAGCTGCCTGCTAGGACCCATTGCCCCAGAGGGTCTAGATTCTATGGAGCAGGCCAGCAACCCAGCAGAGGCCCTGGCACTCTTGAGGCTATGGCCGGTTCTCAGGGCCAGCACTCCTACGGGGCCATTCATCATTGTCACAGAGGTTGAACATCACCCCTGCCAGCACCTTGAGGCCCAAGTTCTGGAGAGGCCATCACTCCTTGAAAACCCCCAAAAGAAAAGGATTTGAGGGGCAGAGGAAGCCGAGGAGCAAGCGGCAAAAATCCTTTACAACTCCAGAGAGGGGACAATCTTTTGAACCATAATTTAGAACCGGACACCACAAAGAAAGCCTGACAAATCCATCTGCATTCAGAACAAAAGAAAAAAAAATATTCTCCATGGAGAAAACCACCATAAGTAAATTCAAGAGACTCATGACCAATGGTAACAAACATCTGCAACTCATATCAAAGAGCTGCCCTTACCAAAGATAAGCTTCCTAAACAATGGATAAGGAGCTCTGGTGGTGCAGAGTCATCTGACTGCTAACCAGTCAAGGTTGGTGGTTAAACCCACCAGTTGCTCTGAAGAAGGAAGATGGGGCAATCTACTTCTGTAATGATTTACCACCTTGGAAACCCAATAGGGGTCATTATGAGTTGGAATCAACTCGATGGCAGTGGGTTTGAAACAGTGGGTGAAGGAAGACCAACATCCCAGGGGAAATGTAGGCATAATATACTGACAGTTCCCAGATAAATAGTTCATAAAAAAATCCAGTTGCCGTGAAGTCAGTTCTGAGTCATGGCGCCCCCATGTGTGATGGAGTAAAACTATGCTCCATAGAGTTTTCAGTGGCTGATTTTTCAGAAGTAGCCAAACTTCCAGCTAGTGGCTTAGTGTATTAACAGTTTGTACCACCCGGGACGTCAAATGGCTTATAATCAAAACCAAACCAAACCTGTTGCCATTGAGTTGATTTTGACCATAGCCACCCTGTAGGACAAAGTAGAACTGCCCCATAGGATTTCCAAGACTATAATCTTTATGAAAGCAGACTGCCTCATCCTTCTTTCATGGGACAGCTGGTGGTTTTGTTATCAGTCACATGCTTAACTATTGCCCCACCAGCGCCCCATAGATGTATGAAAAGAAGCCAACTTCACTTATACCAAGTGACTCTGTTTCTCGGCCTTGACAAAGAACCTTGTTGGTGAGGCTGTAGGGTGCCTGGTCGGTGGCAGACTATACTATAAGTGAACCACCTGACTCAGCTGCACTCCTTTGACAATGTCTCCTACAGTTCCCTTGTACTCCTGCCATGATACATTCAAGACAAGACCATAGCCCACTTACAGAGAACCCAAGTCTACAATGGCACACATGGTGGGGCCATGCTGCAGGAGACAAAGGGCATCCTGGACATGATATTGATGCATCTCATGGCCTCAGCACTGAGAGAGAGAAAGGAGGTACGTGTGGTCAGCTCCCTTTGTAACAGGAAGAGGTCCTAAGAATATAGCCTTTACTTTTCTTAAGGTGAATTATAAAAACATGCCTGTATGTGACTTTGTTCAACCTACAGAAATAGCAAATTCATTTGGTTCAACCTACTGTTGCATGGAAATTACTGGAAGGAAATACAGAGGAAAATCAAACTTATTGCAGGGCCCACCTGTGGCTTCCAGCAGCACAGGGTGGGAGCTGGCAGGATGAGGACAGGGATGGGTTGGGTCTGACTGCTTGATCATAGCTTTCTGTACAGTTTTGGTTTGCGAATCAGGTAAATGTATTACTTATTGAGAAAATTTAAATTTAATTTAAAAAAAAAAACGCTTTTAGTTTTTATGAATGGGGGAGAAATGCGGTGTTGCCACAGCCAGGGAATGGGTGGGAGGATGGGCCTGGCCTCTTGGAAATGGGGTGGAGAATGTAAAACTGCCCACAGATTAGTTTGAAGTTTCTATTTGTTCCCCATCATATTGTTAAAAGACTCAAAAGAAATTGTTACATTTAAAATCTATTTAAAATGTAATTCTACATAAGGGTCCAGATTTTTGGCTTCTCTTAAAAGACTCTGAAGTTCTGCCTCCTCTCAGTGTCTCCCCAGGCCTACAGGATAGGTCCGGGGACTGCTTGGCACTGTATTCCTTCTACCCCTAAAACCAGGCTCCAGTTGACAGAACCAGACAGAAATGACCTGAATGGTGGTAACTTCCAAGACTTATGAGACATTCTGGTTTCTGGGCTGGGAGTTGTAGGAGCTGGGCCCTAGCCCGAGCTCCACAGCCTGGGGCCATGGTGGGCATGACATTGACCCTGGCCTGCAGCCGTCTCCACCCATTCACCTTCTGGACTCTACCCCGCTGGGCACACTGATCTGGCTGCTCGGCTGGAGGCTGCTGGTGTTTGACAGGGTTGGTGCCAGCCGGACCGCCTGGAGTTTTGGGGTCTTCTTTGAGGCCTGCCCCTCTGGAAGAAGCCAAAGAATGGTTTCCAGGTGCTCCATAGGGGCTTGGAGCACCCCTCCCACGTGGCTCCACCAGGTACCTCTGACCCATGAGAAGGTGGTCTTACTCCTGCTACCTTGCCCTACAGGAGGCAAAGAGAAATCCTAGCAGCTACAGCTGCAGCCAGAACTCGGGGGCAATGCCCAGGGGCATAAAGCCTCCCTGTCTTTCCCCAATCTTAGAAGGAGGGAGGGACTTGGGGGGAAAGCCCTTCTTTCCCAAGCCATTGCTAGCCTTGGCTGAGCTGTGGACATATGGGCCATCACCACTCTGGGCTGAACGAACCTGGTGGGAGGGGTCTGTCGTGGGCCTGGGCTCCTCCAAGGCCCCTGCCAGCTGGGTGTGGGTCTTGGTGGGCCACTGGTGCACCTGCCCTTGTGGGCCACCCTTCCCCTCTGCTACCTTTGTCTCCTGAAGTGGAGGGCACACTGCTCTCCTTGGGGGTGTTGGCCACCTCCTTGGCCTTTTTGAGAGCCAGCCGCTTCTTCTCCTGCTCGTCAAACCACTCCTTGGGTGACAACTTGTACAGGAAATCCTTATAGATCTTGTAATGCTGCAGAGTGTCTTCAAACTTAGAGATTTCGCTGGACCAGGAAGGAAGGGAAGCCAAGCTCAGACCTCAGCAGGACATGTAGGCAAGGCCATCCTGCCCTCTACCTTGGTCATGCCTGGGGTGGCTTTTTGTTTTCCTGCCAGGAAGGAAAGAGTACTTGCCCCTGGGACACACCAGAGTAGGGAGGCCTCGAGAGTTAACCTGGGACCACTAGGTCTTGTGATGTTCAGGTTCTAGTCTGTTCCAGGGGCTCTGTGTATCCTTCTCTCTGGATATGGAAAAGAGGTGGCCTTTGGCCAAGTCATCCTTGCCTCCCAGTGGCCAGGGGGGTGACTGGAAAAGTGACTCTCTTTTGGTGTCCTCATCTAAAAATGGGCATACCATCTCCTCAGGTTTTGAGACAATACCTTTGGCTAGAGAAATGCTAGAGGGAAACTGAGGCAGAGCCAGCCAAGGGCCCAGTTCGGCTTCTGAACTCCCGCATGGTCTGTGGCTGCTGTCTTTACCTTTTGATGTTCATGATCTGGGTGGTTAGATCTCGGAACTCAAAGATCTTCTCTATCTTTGCTTTGGTCTCCTTCTCAGCCCTAGGATGGGGTGGGTGCAGGGAGCCAGTTGCAGATTATCAAAGGGACATGAGGGAGTGCAGGAAGTGCCAGGGGTGGCCAGGCTTGGGCTGAGTGGGGGTGTAGATGGGGGTGCAGAACCAGGTCACACAGGGATCAGAGTCACGCTCCCATGGCCCCTGCAGCCCCCAGCCTACAGGCTCACGCTCTCAGGGCCTGCACGGAACTGCGGTCATTCTCTCTGAGGAACTCATCAAACAGAGCTGCATCCTTCTCCAGAGACTTCTCCGCCAGCTCCAGCTTGGCTTCCTCCTTGGCTGCCAGCATCTCTAGCCGCTGGATCTCATTCCGCTTCATCTCCAGGGCATACTGAGGGCCACCAGAGCAGTCATGGTGCCACACCAAGCTGGCATGCCCACCGACGGACCCTCACATGGGCAGCTGGGCCTACCTGGATGAGGAACATCTGCCGCTTCTGGTCAACATAGCTGTTTATGTTATCTGATTCCATTCGTTTTTCTGCAATGAAATAAGGGACGTATTTAGGGATAGGGCAGGAAGCCCTGCAGCAAGGAGGACACACAGACTCCTAGTCTGGGGCTCTGCTATGTGCCCACTGTGATACCAGGTTATGACAGGTCCGTGGGAGATGGTGCTCTTGTCCTGTCTACAGCAGGAAACACGTATACTCTATGGCTGGAGATTGTACCAGGTGAGAAGTCCTTCTTTAGGTCTGACTTGGCCCTCTTTTGCTATAGCATTCTTCTCACTAAAAATGAGGCTCTGAACACCTCATCCTGGAAGTGGCACCCAGCTGGACTTAATAATAATATTAGCCAGTACCTGAAAAGAGGATCTTGACTTGTGATACCCTAAGCTCTCAGAGTCCAGTTAGGTAGCAGCAATGTCTATACTGCCAGGGTTTAAACCAAGCAGGAGAAAATTAAGGTGCACATCTGAACAAGCTTCCCAAGTGCCAGCAGAAAGACAGTGAAGCCAAATATCAAGGCCACGGGGGCCTCTCCTTGGCCTTTCTGTAGGGAAAATTCTTAGCTCTTAGACTTTGGAGAGTCTGAGCACTTGCAGAGGACCTCAAAATCATGTGGCTCTCTGGCCTTGCCACTTTAGTCCTTTTCTTTCCAGAAGAAAAGCACTGGCATGGTGGAAAGAGATCCCTGCATCATTGGTGGCCTTGAGGAAGCCCTTGATTCTAAGGGACCCATCTTCCTCCCTGTAGATGAAGGTTGAGACATGGCTTCTGCAATACTGGGGGCCCATCCTTTCTAGGGGTCTACACCTGTCTCCTTGTTGAATCTCATCCACTTCTCTGCTTGAGATCATTTCTGTATTTCCAGAGGAAGGCACAACTCACCCATCCAAACACTATCTGCCTCTCTCAGGTATTAGGAGTGGAAGGTGAACAGCAGAAATTTAATGGGCAGTAAGGGACATTCTAGGGGCCAAGCAATCATACAGGAAACATCCAAGCAAATTCAGTTGTTTCCTAACAAAAATAACAATCACCTGGCCTGTCAGGGAGACTGAGGCATCCTTTTGATCTTCATACTTAAACACTTAGTACCAGTGCAATCCTTCTATGTTTTGGAACTCTCCACTCCCAATTCTTTATTTCCATTGTTCTTGTTAGGTGCCATCAAATCAGCTCTGACTCATAGTGACCTTCTGTACAACAGAACAAAACACTGCCTGGTCCTGTGCCAGCCTCTCAATCCTTGCTACACCTGAGCCCATCGTTGCAGCCACTATGTCTGTGTCAATCCATCTTGTTGAGGGCCTTCCCCTTTTTCACTGATCCTCCACTTTACCAAGCATGAGAGCCTTCTCCAGGGATAGTCTCTTGTGACAAGACGACCAAAGTAGATGAGACAAAGTCTGGCCATTCTTGCTTCCAAGGAGCATTCTGGCTGCATTTCTTCCAGGACAGATTTGTTTGTTCTTCTGGCAGTCCATGGTACTTTCATTACTCTTTGCCAGCACCACAACTCAAAAGCATCAACTCTTCTCTAGTCTTCCTTATTCATTATCCAGCTCTCACATGCATATGAGGCAATTGAAAACAACATGGCTTGGGCTAGGCACACCTTAGTCTTCAAAGAGACATATTTCCTCTTCAGCACTTTAAAGTGGTCTTTTGCAGGAGATTTGCCTAGTGCGATGCGCCATCTGATTTCTTGACTGCTGCTTCCATTGGTTTTGAATGTGGAACCAAATAATATGACAACTTCAAACTTTATCTATTTATCATGATGCTGCTTATTGGTCCGGTTGTGAGGATTTTAGTTTTCTTTATGTTGAGATGTAATCCATACTGCAGACTATGGTCTTTAATCTTCATCAGTAAGTGTTTCAAGTCATCCTCACTTTCAGCATGCAAGGTTGTGTCGTCTGCATGTCACAGGTTGTTAATGAATCTTTTTCCAATTCTGATACCATATTCTTCATATAGTCTAGCTTCTTGGATTATTTGCTCAGCATATAGATTGAATAAACTTTGTTATTTTGTACTTTATTATCTGGGTTGGTAGGATATTGATGTGTATTTAGTATGTAAGATTTCCTACTGAAAAAAAACAAACCTAAAAACCAAACCTACTGCCATCAAGTTAATTCTGACTCATAGCAACCTCCCCTGGGTTTCCAAGGCTATAAATCTTTCCTAAAGTAGATTGTTTCATCTTCCTCCTGTGGAGCATCTGATGGGTTTGAATCTCTGACCTCCTGGTTAGCAGCCAAATGCCTTACCCCCTACACCACCAGAGTTCCTTCAAGAGTTCCTCTAGGGAACTACCACTAATAATAACTCACACATGTGTAGTTCATTCTTACTCTGTGGTGGACAGTATTCTAAGCATGTTAGATGTATGAACACATTTAATCTCCATGATCTCATTAGGCTGGCACAGAAGTAAACCGAGGGGCAGAAGGATTAAGTAACTTACCCACCACAAAGCTAGTGGATGGGTTGTTGGGGGCTCAGATGTGAAACCAAGAAATCTAGTTCAAAAGCTGCTACGTGCAACCCCTGAAACAAATTGCCTGTATTTATATCTGTACAGCCTGCATCCATTGTGTGTGAACAATATTTAGAAAGCAAACAGTACTGTGATTCAAATGGCTTTCTCTACAAGAGCACCTTAACCTTGCACTCCATCTGGACTTACATTTGTGATCAGTGTGAGGTAGGGATCAGATCCTTTTTTCCATGCGGCTATCCAATGAACATGGCCCTATTTCTTTCAAAGCCCTTTAAAACACCCCCAGCACCTGCATGGCAAAAGACCCATGAGTTCCAGCTTCTATGAAAACAGGGCCTTTCCCTGCACCAGGATGTGCAGGGCTGGGTTCTGCTCAGAGTCTCCTGACACTGGTGGCAGGGGCAAAAGTGAAGGTGTGTGTGTCTCTGTGTGTGTGTAAAAGGGGTGCTACCTTTAGTGATGGCAAGCTTCCAGATGGTGTTGTCGCGGAAGGCGCGCAGCTGCTCAGTCTCAGCGCATACCTTGCGCTCTTCTGCTTCGTCCTCCAGTTGCAGCTCACGCCGCAGACTTCTGTGCTTGGCTGACACCTTGGAGGAGTATGTCACCTTCTCGTGCACGTGCATGGTTTTCTTCTGCTCCCGCTCCTGGGGGTAGGTTGGACCACGTCAGGGCATCTCTCCCTGCCACCCACCCAGTCTCCATCTTCCTCCATCACACCCACCTGGGGTTAGGTTGGGGTAGAGAGGGGCTGTGTGAAGAGGGGTGATAGTGTCTGTGTGCAGGAGGGGGGCTCTGGAGCCATATAAGAAGTGGGGAGGATGGCAAGTGGAAAGACATAGGGCAACCATGGCGCACCCCGAAGGACAGCTGCTACTAGGTGGCTCTGCTTGCCATCCAAGAAAGGGGTCCAGGTAGAGCTGCCAGGTAAAATGCAGGATGCCTAGTTAAACTTGATTGTCAGAAAAATATTGCATAGGACATACCTTGTTTATCTAAAATCTTATGGAGGTAATATAGGACAGACAGGAGTGCATAAATATGAGGGGCACTGGGGGAGGGTTACTGGGCAGGGAGGGGAGGAGACCGAGTTTGGGTCGGGCATGGTAGATGGGGAGTGAAACTAAATGTACACGTAACGTTGAATGTAAAGCAAACTCTTAAATTAAAAAAAAAATAATAAATAAAATCCAAATTTAACCATTTTCCCTGTAATTTGATTTGCTAAATCTGACAACCTTTGGTTTGGATCTTCTGAGTTTCCAAAATAACTTGAAAGTTAGCCCCTACCCCCCATTTGTCTCTTTTTGTCTGCTCTAGGCCCTCTTGCCTTCCTCCCCTCAGGCCCAGGCTCCTGTGTGGGTCTCTGACAATAGCATGGTAGCATAGTGCCTAAGGCACTTGATTGCTAACCAGAAGGCTGGCGGTTCAAACCCACCAGCCACTCCTCGGAAGGAAGGTTGGGCAATCCTACTTCTGTAGTGATATTGCCTCGGAAACCCAAGGAGGGGTCGCTATGAGTCGGGGCCGACTGGACGGCATATAACAACAACAACAACAATCCTCCTAGAGGCCTAGCCCTCTGTGCTAGGCCCAGGTGCCTGAAACACCCTGGCTGGCTTTCACACCCCTGGGAGTGAGGGTTTGCAGAGCTCTGCCTGGAGTGGGCTGTGAGCTAGATGTGAGAGCTGAGGCTGCGGGGCTGAGGGCAAAGGACACAGGAGTCAGAGAGGAGAAGGCAAAGGAAGTCTAAGGCTGGGCTGGTCCTGTGAGAAGAGGAAAAGCCTGCAAAGGACAGAAGAAAGGGAAGGTTTCCAAAGTTTGATGTCTGAGAAAGGTTTGTGTATGGAGTTACAGTCACTCCTCCACCTCCACCATAGAAGCTTCAGGGACATAGGGACCACAACACTGCCAGGTGAGTGCGCCTAACAGCCAAAACTCTCAAATGGCTGTATCAGCTTTTGGGGCAGGGAATTGGGCCCTACCTAGCATTTCAGAATCTGTCCATTTGGGGCAGGCCAATAATGTGCATTCCCAACAGGTTGTGTGTCTGCTGGGGAAGAGGGGTGGTCTGAGATCCTGGTCACATGTGTGTTTACGTGGTTACCACTAGTGTGCCTCTCTCACGAAGTCTAGAGGAGGCTCCAAGCCAAAGCAAGGAGGAGTAAGACTCTACTGAACCCCTGGCCACTTCCCACAGTTATGGAGACACCTGGCTCTAGTAGGACCTCTCTGGGCTGTCCTGGGTACTGTGGATGGAGTGGACTATCTTTACCTCTGGACACACAGTTCTCAGGGATGGGAAAGCAAGAGAAAACATACTTGGGTGCAAAAAAAAAAAAAAAACTCGCTCACGGGTCACAGATGGCCCTGGTGAGTGCTAAGCATTGCTGAGGGCCATATGTGTGTGCATGCATCTACATATCTGTGTGCATATCTGTTGTTGTTGTTGTTATGTGTCATTGAGTTGGACCCGACTCATAGCGACCCCTCCTTGGGTTTCTGAGGCAGTATCACTATGGAAGTAGATTGCCCTATCTTCCTTCCAAGGAATGGCTGGTGGGTTTGAACTGCTAGCCTTCTGGTTAGCAGTCAAGTGCCTTAGGCACTAAGCTACCAGAGCTCCTGTGTGCATATCTGGCCTCCAGGAACTCCAATGAGAGGGGACTGGGCATGGCTGAACAGTCAGGGTGGCTCTTGGAGAAGGTGAGCAGGAGAAGCTGGGATAGCATGGTCTTTAATGGCCTCAGAAGACTGAGGTCTTGAAGAGGGGCATCTCAGGCAGGGAGCAGCAGAGGAGGAGGCACAGTGGTGAGGCTATTAACATATGCAGCTCTAATGGGTCCACCCTGACAGAGGCACAAGAACAGTGAGGACCAGACTGGGTAAGATGGAGGAGATTAGGCCAGACATGTGAGAGCCAGGGAGAGCTTCAAATTGATTTCAGAGGAAAAGGTGAGCCATTGATGGTTCTTGAGTGAAAGAGTGACCAAGAAAAGTGCTATTTTTGAGAAATCTGGCTCCAAAAGCAGAAAGATCTGGGGGCAGGGAAGTTGTGATGAGGGGGTGGGGGTAGGTTTGGCCCCAGTCCTGGGTACTCACCAAGTGAGCCTTATTCCGCTCTTGGTCTCTGAGCAAGAAGAAATCCACGTCTCCAGATATGTGAAAAGGGTTAGTTGAACGATCAGGAACAACCGCTGGTACTGGGGAAGGAGACACTCGGTTGGGGTGGGGGACCCAGATGCCCTTCCAGCCTGCACAAGGAGGCTGCACATGTCCTCTTGGGTGTACCCCTGGACATTGCAGCTGCCTGGGTCAGTAACTTTCCTTTCTTGTTTAATCTTAATAGTTTGGGTTGGAATCTGTTGCTGACACCTAAAACCTCATAGGCATTAACCATTCTTTGATTTTCAGAATCTACTATGTCCTTGTGCTTGGTCAACACTGCTACTCTCATTAAAGTCTAAGGAAAACCCACTCAAGGATGCCTGTCATTGTAATATTGCCAGCAGCCAGCCAGTCTACCTTGAGCCAGGGCTGAGGTCTCCCTGTGTCATCTTTTCAGGGGACTCAGGAATCTCCCAGGGGGAGACCGGGTTCAGGGAGGGGGTGGGCAAAGTGCCAGAGCCTGGGGCTCAGGGAAGGAATTTGGGAAGCGGCAAGCAGAGCTTCCTGAGATCACAATTCTGTTTCCCTCATGGGTGAGGGAAGAGGTGCTTAAACCCACCAGCCACTCCTCGGAAGGAAGGTTGGGCAATCTACTTCCGTAGTGATACTGCCTTGGAAACCCAAGGGGGGTCACTATGAGTTGGATCCGACTCCATGGCAGTGGGTTTGGTTTGGTAAGGGGTGTGAAACCTGATCCCAATATTTGGGGAAATGGATGGCTTAAAAAAACATGACTGCTTTACCCCTCCTCCCCCTGATTTAGGAGAAATGGAGTTCACTGTAAACACAACTGGAAAGTTAAAGAAAGTATGATACATTATCAACTCCTCTACTTTGAAACAGTTGTTGATAGTATTTTGGGGGCATTTTCTTCTAGTATTTTGCAATACATATTTTTTAAACTTTTACATTCTTCTTTTCCTTTTCTTTTTTCTTTTCTTCTTCTTTTTTTTTTTAAAGCATAACAATCCCCTGTGCTGTTAGAAAATCTGTATGAACCTTGGAAGCAAATATTATGGCTGCAAGAAAGTGCTATTTTGTCCCAATCTGCTCAGCTGTGATATAGGTAATGGTGACTAATGGCTGCAGTGGGCATCCTGTGGCATGGCTCTGTGCCCACCCATGGCCAGCTCTTTGGAATGGATTTCCCAGAAACAGATCAGCAGCTGGGGCTATGAGCAGCTCTGAGGCTTTGGAGACAGATTCTAGGCTTGATTCATTTTACATTATCACTAGCAGACAGCGCGCTATTAAAAGAGATTTTAAAGTTATGCTCAGATAGTCTCAAAGTAACTCTGTACAGATACTTAACAACAAGAAGGATCAATTGATATGAGGTAAGTCCACAAATGTGTCTGCAGTTATGGCCCTTGCCTTATTTTTGAGACATTCCTGCCCCAGAAAGGCTATGAATTTTTATGGAAGCAGACTGCCTCATCTTTCTCCCATGGATTGGCCAGTGGGTTTGAACAGCTAACCTTTTGGTTAGCAGCCAAATGTCTTAACCACTGTGCAACCGGAACTCTTTCCAATGGATTAGGTAATATTAAAAAGATTGACAATATACCAAGTGTTGGAGAGGATGTAGAGCAACTGAAAGTTTCATGCTTGTTGGTGGGATTATAAATTGGTACAATCTCTCTGGAAAACTGTTCAGCTGTATCTACTCAAGTTAAACATATGACCAGCAATTCCATTTCTGGGTATATATCCAGGAAAAATAAGTACACATGGCCACAAAATGATGTGTACAAACATATTTATAGCAGTTATTTATAACAGCTGAAAACTGGGAAAAAACTGTGTGTCCATCCATATAGAAAAGATAAATGGTGGCACATGCATACAAGAGTATATACACAGCAGCAAGAGTGGTCAACTGGTGCATGCATCAGCACAGATGAATCTCACAGATAAAATGCTGAATGAAGCCAAAAACAAAGAAGGAAATAGTATGTGACTCCAGTAACATAAGGATCAAAAACAGACAAAATGATTCTGTAGTGATGGAAAGCAGAACAGTGTCTTTCTGGGGAAGGGGTCATCTGGGAGGTGGAAAGATTGCAGATCTTGAATGGAATCGTGTCTTGGGCTGGGTTCTGTAGAAAAGCAAAACCAGTGAAGCTTATATTCTATTTATATATGCATATATTTATACATATGACTACAAATGTGTATATATAAATTTATCTCAAGGAAATGGCTCACACATTTCTAGAAGCTGGCAAGTCCCAAGTCCATGGATCAGACATCAAACTAGAGGCTTCTCCTGACTTATAGATGCAGAGGCTGAGGAACCCAAGATCAAGATGGAGAACCCAAGGTAAGATGGCAGGCTGTTGACTCACAGGCACCAATCCCAAGAGCAGGAGGCAATAAAGCAGGCCACTGGGTCAAGTCCCAGAACTGGAGGTCAGATGGCGATGAGCCAGAAGCAAGATCCAGATCTAACAGAAAGCCAAAGAGCTTTATCAAGATGTCCATATATATTGGAAGCAGGCCACACACCTGAGGAAACTCCCTTTCAACTGATTGGCTACTCACTGCAGATCTCATCATGGAGCTGATTACATTATATCAGATCTCATCATGGAGGATGACCACATCATAACTGATATACTAATGAGAATCATGGCCCAGCCAAGCTAACACACAACCTTAACTATCACAATCCATCCCTTGTGAACTTGGCTCATGTACTCATCTCCTTAAACCATACATAATCTCTAAATAAAGATAATTATGAAGTCATACTTTTGCTTAACATGACACAACAAACACACTTAAAACAAAAAACGTACTGGCCCTGTATACATTTATATTTTGTAACTGAGGAAAAAAAAAAATTTAGTGCACATGTACAAGGCAGTCCCTACAATCACAGTCCCGATTTCTGCAACTAGTCATGTGGTCATAGCCTGCATTTAGAACTACCTTCTTCCACCACACATTCTGTATTCCCATTGCCCCCAGCAAGCACTTCAGCTGCTCATGGTTCTTTTGCCTCATGGTGTGACCCAAACCTTCATTCCTGAAGGTCTGGGCCATTAGCAGTCATACCAGAATTGAATTGCTGTAGTTTTCCATTGATTTTAATCACAGGCATGATTATACTAAGAGAGGTCTTAAGGAATTGCCTTCATTCCAGACATACTCTTCTTTACTTCCATTATGTAATATCAGTCTGATTTTCCTGATAATCAGCTTCTATCACACCAGATAATAGAGTAATTCCTTTCTTTGCCATTGATCCAGAGACATGAGGATCCCAAAAAGGCCAGGTGACGTTCTTAACTTTCAGTTCAATGGAATCAGTATTGTGTCTCCAGGTGGGAGGATTCCTTCTGTTAGGACTAAGAGCACCAGACCCATAAAACATAGGGTCACAGTGACAAGAAGAAAAATTTTGTGAGCCTCTAGGGGGTAACAGTGAATGGTGCCACTCCCATTTCCATCCCTTGGTTCCTGAACCCATGAATCCTGGCTATTGGGGAAACAGCATCATATATTGTATGCTGGTTTAGAGCATATACAGCCTTCTGGAGAGTATTGCCCCAACCTTGCAAGGTATTCCCACCTAGCTGGCAATGTAATTGTGTATTTAGAAGCCTATTCCATAGTTATACCAACACAGCAGCATCAGGGTGATGGAACACTTGGTAAGACCAGTGAATTCTATGATTATGGGCTCATTGCTACACTTCATTTACTGTGAAGTGAGTCCCTTGATCAGAGACAATCCTGTGTGGGATACCATGACAGTGGATAAAGCCTTCTCTAAGTCTATGGATGACAGTTTTGGCAGGACCATTGTGTGCAAGGAAGGCAAATCTATATCCAGACCAAGTGTCTGCTCCAGTAAGAACAAAACACTACCCTTTCCATGTTGGAAGTGGTTCAATATAGTCAACCTGCCATCAGCTTGCTGGCTGATCACCCAGAGGAATTGGTCCATATTGTGGACTCAGTGTTGGTCTCTGCTACTGGCAGATTGGGCACTCAGTGGCTGTAGTCAAGTCAGCTTTGGTGAGTGGAAGTCCATGTTGCTGAGCCCTACCATCACTACCACCTTGTTCATGAGCTCATTGGGCAATGACAAGAGTGGCTGGGAAAAAAGGTTGACTGGATGCACTGCTCCAATTCCTGCCCTCTGGGAGGATCTCCCTTCACCACTGCCCTTCAGGGAGGCCCCAGAAAGGGACCAAATTGCTACCACTCTCCACTTTTGAGTGGTATCTGCATATTGTGCAGAACCATCTGTAAACCAGGCATGACTTATCTCTTTCAACTGATCTTTCAATGACTTTTCAGCTGATCATAAGGAACTCCCCCATGAAGCCATAGGTGCAGAGTGGGAGAGGAAAGATAATGTGACTGGAGTGGAGACACTAGGCATTTGGGCCACTTCTTCATGCAACTTTCTTGTGCCTTGAGGCCCTGCCTGAACTTTGTCTCTTATGTATCATTTCCAGTTAATGATGGATTGTTGCTGTGCATATCCAATTTTATGAGTCTGTGGGTTAGACAACACCCAGTTCATTATGGGCTGCTCAGATTGTGTGGTGACTTGGTGGCCCATGGTTAGGTGTTCAGTCTCTGCTAAGGCCCAAAGCTGTTTCTAAAAAGGAAAGTAGTTATCTGCAGAGGTTGGAAAGGCTTTACTCCAAAGTCCTAAGGGTCTGTGCTGTGATTCACCAATAGAACCCTGCCAAAGGCTCCAAATACAGGTAAGGGGAGAGAAAGCCCTCACCCAGGCAGGAAGTGGGAAGCTAGGGCCAATTGTTGAAGAGGAATTGTGTGGCATTCATCATCACAAAGAATGTTTTAAGAGCTATCCTGAAGTACAGTGCTGTCAGTGGTAGGATAATATCCATATGCCTACAAGGGAGACCAGTTCATACCACTATTATTCAAATTTATACACCAACTACCAAAGCCAAAGATGAGGAAATTGAAGATTTTTATCAACTTCTGCAGTCTGAAATTGACCAAACATGCAATCAAGATGTATGATTATGACTGATGATTGGAATGTAAAAGTCAGAAACAAAGAAGAATCACTGGCTGTTGGAAAATTTGGCCTTGGTGATAGAAATAATTCTGGAGATCGTAAAATACAATTTTTCAAGACCA